CTATTGATGAGGAAAAGAGAGACAAATTTAAATTTCTTCAGATACCTGAAAAGTACTCTTCATAAGTGTCAATGTCTTAATAAAAAAAGACTGAAAATCTGTCACAGATTAGAGGAGATTAATGAAATACGATGTCTGAGTACAATGTTTTACCCTGGATTAATCCTGGAACATAAAATATATTAGGGAAAACATTGTGAAATACAAATAAAATCTGTAATCTGTTTAATATTATATGGTGTTAATTTCTTAGCTTGATAAATGCACCATAATTATGTAAGATGTTACTAAGTAGGGGAAGCTAGATTAAAGGTATATGAGCACTCTTGTACTATCTTTGCAATTTTTATGTAAGTCTAAAATTGTTAAAAATAAAATTTGAATATATTTTTTTCTCACGTATATCTAGTTAAAAAGAGCAGATAGAATACTCATTTTTATCTACTCCCTTCTAAAATCTTACTAAAATAAAACTTGACTGAAATGGAACACTAAGCTAAAAGTGGAGACAACTGAGAACACCCATATACACTGTAGAAACTCCAACAGCTTACTAATTGATACCTCTGGAAGTGAGAATGAAGATGAAGCTTCAAATAGAAGAAAAGTTTGAAAGTCTGTTTAATAAGCAGTTAGATCCCTATTTTTTTTCTAGTCCTAGCAGAAAACTGCGGTTATTTCTCTGGAAAAAAAGTAAAATGCAGACTCTCTGGACCAAGACTCACCAAGCACAATTGAAGGTATAGGTGCTATAATGAAAGGGGAGCTGGGAGGAGAGCAAGATGAAAAGTTTCATGCTGTTTATTTAGAACCTTGGCTATTTTTCCCATTCCAGCTCTCAGAATGCTGACAACCAGACAGAAAATTGGAAGATTTTTTCCTAAGGAATCTAGACAGCTCAAGATAAAAGATCTAACTATATTGGTATCAGAAACTGCCCTAAGGAAACAACTTAGTCAGATTACTCTGTTATTAAGATCACAGTCCATAAACCACAACTGCAAGCACAGAGATGTTACTCAGCATTTTACTGCTCTACTCTTTAAACATGAGCAAATAGTCAAGTATGAATAGTCAAATTGTCATGAAAAGTAGGGAATAAAACATGCTGTGGAGACATAAGAGGTTAAAAAATATTATCAGTTTTTTCAGAGGTAAGAGAGGTTTTGTGTCTGTGAAACAGGAAAAGGATGCTATTTTTTTAAGTCAAAGATTAGATATTTAAAATACAGTAGAAAATAAAAAAGAAAAGAAACATGAATCAGCAGAAGTTATAGAAGTCCTTCAGAGAAAAGGGTGTAAAAATATGAAGAAATAGAAAACAGGAGTGAAAAGACCAGAATATCAAGCAACCAACTCAGGAGGTTTATTAGCTAAATCATGGATGTTGAAGAATAAAAAAAAAGAAAATAGAATGCAGAAAATTATTATTAGTAGTAATGATATAATAATATAGTAGTAATAATATTATTATGAAACTTCTAAAATAATATATAATTAGATACTATGCATACACTGTATATAGAAACAAAAAATAATTAAAGCACACAGTTGCCTCCAAAAATTTTCGATGCAAAGATTTATAGCTCCCAGACCAGAACTGGGCTGAGATTTGTTCCATAAATAATTTAATTATGTTTACAATCCCAAACACAACTGCAATCCTTAATTAAATTGCACTGATAAAGAACAAACAACCACAGACCATTTATTAGTTCATGACCTGGCGATTACTGAAATATATGGTAAATGTAATGAGGACTAAAAGATAACTATACTTTTAAGCAATAAAGAGAAATTTTAAAATCTTGTGTAAATATGTCACATAAGCATTTAGCCCTAAATGACATTTATCATGACTTATTTAATTATAACAGTATAGAAAGTGATTCCAGTCATTAATTTTTTAAAAAATTATTATATAGAACTCTTTCTTTCGCACTTAAAAACTAGTTATATAACCATTTGGATATGATTTATTGCATATATTGTTAGATAAAAATTAGGATATGATGACAAATGTAACTGATATATTTTGACAAACCATAACATATATGCAAATGGATGTCTTTCCCTCTGAACTATTGACCTTAGAGCAGTGACTCTCAACTGGAGGTGATCTAGTGAGTAGACACCAATTTTGCTGTTTATCATGACACCCCATTCCTACACATAGCAAAGAATTATCAATAGTGCCAAAGTTGAGTAATCTTCCCTTAGAGAATATACCATTGTCTAATGGTGTGGCCTTTGCTAAAATATTCTGGAAAATCATCTTTTAGAATTGTGTATTTGAATATACTGATTGTGGCAAACCTTCATTCTTTGTGAGGTATATTTTAATTTGGGCTAATTCTCATGGCTCGTAGGGATGATACAGTTTATTTCTGGAACTCAGTGAAACATGTAGGCAGGTATTCACAGGCACTTTCATACATGCACACAAAATTCATTAATCATGTCCAACTAATTTAGAATTTGGTTAGAAAAGAGAAGACTTAAACTTTACTTTCGTATCATATTCAAAGGAATTTGTTTATTGATAAATAATTTTTAAGGATAGATTTTAGAACCTTAACTGTCACCTAACTCCCAACTAGGAGGAGAGAATCAAGAGAAACTTTCTTTATAAATGGTTCTTTGCTTGCTCAAAAATTAATAGAGGAAGATTCTCAAAAATGTGGACTGAGCACATAATATAAAGTCTCAACTCCAAAAAAATGCCAACTGAAAAACATATTAACTTAACTCTTCCTGTATTTTCTGGATATATTCTTTTTATTTAATTGATGCTTTTACTTTCAACCAAATAGGTCTAGTCAAATTTACTGATATGACCCTTGCTAGATAGAAATTCTGATTGATGTTAAATATGGGACAGGTTTATCTTTTACATTCAAATAATCCAGGTCTACAACCCTTATTTGCAGTTTTAAAATTACAAAAGCTCTGAAAAACTAAGGATTTTTGTAACTCAGCTGTTGACAGAATCTGATCTGAACTGATATGATATTTTTACTTTTAATTTACCCACATAGTATGAGACTATTCATACTCTTCACTGGAAAACTTTTAATATGTTGCATTTCAAGGAGCTTAGTAATATGTGAAGTATTTTTTGCCTTTCTAAAATCTGAAAATTTTCAAATTCCAAATTAGTAAGTGTGAAATCAATAGAAATTGAAATAGTAGATGCTTATATTTTAAATCTTATTTGTCATTTTTAAAAATTGCTATAGTTCTTCAACTTTAATTTTTCAAATTATGAAAGAATTTAGTGCTCTATTATTTTTTGATTGAAACTAAAGCATAATATACTCTGACTGAAAATATAAGAGTAACAATTTTCAGTCACCATTCGGTGATTTTCAGATTTGTGACTTTTATGTATTAGGAAAGAAACCCCCCAAATTAAGAGTATACCAATATTAAAATGGGAAGAAGACATGATCAAGCAAATGATAAGAGAGTATATGTATATTGCTAATATTTCTATGAAAAATGATGAATATCATAATTTTTTTTAATGCAGCATAAATTAGATGTCCTTTTCAAATAAGCAAAGGTTCTAAAAACTGGTAAGACTAAATGTAATCAAGGATGTAAGAAAGCAGCCATTTTCATGCATTGCTTATGGGGAAAATGTGTACAAAATGTCCAAAGCTATAAGAGAGCTCGAAGATTATATCCTTTATCCAAAGTGATTCTACTTCTTGAATCGATCCTAAGGAAATATATAATATGCATTACAAAGATACATATATGAATGCTCATTACTTCTTTATTCTATTGAAAATAATCAAAATACCCATGAATAAAGATTGGTAAAATGAATTATTATATATCCCTATAATGGAATATAAATCATATGATAAAAGAATATTTAATGGCTTAAAAATATTCAAAATATATTTTAATTGGAAAATGCCAGACTTAGAAAATAGTATATACAGTTTGAATCCCATCCTCTTTATAACCAAGTATGTGGTGTGTGTGTATATTGTTGCATTCACATTTTTCTATATTTCAAATCTTCCACAGTAAATATATTCAAAATAGGAAATTCTTAATATTATTTTATATTTTCCAAATTATATACATACTTAAAATTGGGAAAAACTAAATATACATATACATTACAAAGATAAGAGTCTTTAAGAATAACAGAATGAAAAGAATACTCCTGAGAAATTTCAAGGCATTTTATAATTGACTGCCTGTCTAAAAAAAGGATTCTACCTATATAGATAAGTAGAAATTAAAGAAATTTATTCTGTGGCATTCATCCAATCCATGAAACACTGTTTTAGCAGAAAATATTACTACTACTTTTTTGAGAAGTGTTATATTTCTTTTTCAGAATTTTAGCCTTCTTTCTCCTCGTCTGAAATTCTGAAATCTCTTAGGTACCTGATTACTATTTCAGTAAAATGGGGAATACCATTTTTCTTCCTAGATTTCTCATTTCAAATATTAGCACACAGGGTGGAATTTTTACTTCTTATTCATGGTGTCCAGCTCTTAACATCTTAACCTGGCAGGAGGACCAAACTAGTTGTAAATCTTACTACCCAGACCACACTTGATTATTGTATGATGGGAAAATTAAACGTGAATAAAACAGCTAGAGCATTAGGGTGTTCTTGGAAGAATAAACACAAGTTGGAAGTCTTATGTGGATAGTGCAAAGTACAGGAAGGCAATCAATCATGTAAACATCAAATGAAAGGTTAGTAAGGAAGCCATTGGAGTCTGTCAGGCGCTCCCAGCAATAAATGGCTTATTCCATTTCTTTTCCCTTTCACTCACAGTTTAGAAAAGTGAATTCTGTGGAATCTTTAAAAGTTCCCAAAAAGTTTGTAAGTTCTTATTCCTGTTTAAAGATATGCTTTGAACAGAATGAGCTCAAATCATTAAAGAGGACTTTTAGCTTACATAAAATGGACACAAATATGTCACAGTGCATACTTCCCTGATTTTTTCCCCCTTCCCACAAACAGGAAACTGTTAAGGCAGCAATAATAGAAGAGCAGAAGCGAAGTGAAAAAGCTGTGGAAGAGGCAGTGAAAAGAACAAGAGATGAATTGATAGAGTACATAAAAGAACAGAAAAGGGTAAGTACTTCCTGAAGTGTTTTAATTTGTGCTTCCATAAACTGAAGCACTGGCTTCCATACAATAACATGAAATTTAAAAATACTTGAAATGTCCTTTGTCATATAATTTAGGAATATCTATCTAAGATTATTTTTCCGATATGATCATATATTCTAATAGTTAGATCTATAGACCTAAATACCATTTGTCAACAAAAAAGCAACACTGAATAGTTTTTTGCTAGACTCCTAGAAATTACCTATACCATTTTCAATTCAACTTTACACTCATGAAGAAAGGAAACAGTTCCAGATTTTTTTTTTTGAGGTAACATTGGTTTATAAAATATTTCAGGTGTACAACATTATAATTATGTAATACATTGCGCTCACCACAAAAAGTCTGATTTCCATCTATCACCATACAATTGACCTCCTTAACCCATTTCTTCCTCCCTCTACCCCTGCTTCCCCTCTGGTAACCACCAATCCATAGTCTGCCTTTGTGAGTTTGTTTTTGTTTTGTTTGTTCTTCTTTTTCTTATTCCACATGAGTAAAATCATATGGTATTTGTATTTCTTTATCTGACTTATTTCACTTAGCATAATCCCCTCAAAGTCCATCCACGTTGATACAAATGGTAAGATTTTATCTTTTTCTTTGTGGCTGAATAGTATTCCATTGTGGCTGAGTAGTATATGACCTTCGCACAACATAGGGAATAGAATCACTGATACCCCATACAAATTTATGGATACTTTTGGCTCCCCCAAAACTTAACTACTACTAATAACCTAGTGTTGACTGTAAGCCTAATAACCGATAACATAAATAGTTGACTAACACATTTTGTACATTATATGTATTATATACTATATTCTTATAATAAAGTAAGCTAAAGAAAAGAAAATGTTATTAAGGAAATTGTAAGGAAGAGAAAATACATTTACAGTATTCATTGAAAAACAATTTTGTGTAAGTGGACATGCACAGTTCAAACCCATGTTATTCAACAGTCAACTGTACATATCACATCTCTGTTATCCATTAATTCATCAGTGGACACTTAGGTTATTTCTATATCTTGCCTATTGTAAATGATGCTGCAGTGAACATAGTGTGCATATATCTTTTCAAATTACTGTTTTTGTATTCTTGAGATAAATATCCAAAAGTAGAATAGCCAGATCATACGGTAGTTCCATTCTCAGTCTTTTGAGGAATGTTTTCATAGATAAATATCCAGAAGTAGAATAGCCAGATCATATGGTAGTTCCATTCTCAGTCTTTTGAGGAATGTTTGAGGAGTGTTTTCATAGTGACTGTACCCAATTTACATTCCCACAACAGCACATGAAGGTTCTTTTTTTCACATCCTCTCCAACACTTATTTCTTGTCTTTTCAATGATAGCCATTCTTACAGGTGTGAGGTGATATCTCATTGTGGTTTTGATTTGCATTTCCCTAACATTTAGTGATGCTGAAGATCTTTTTATATGTCTGTTGGCGACCTTATGTCTTCTTTGGGAAACTGTCTATTCAGGTCATCTACACACTTTTTAATCAGATTGTTTTGTTTTGCTTTGTTTTGTTGAGTTGTATGAGTTCTTTGTATGGTTTGGATATTAATCCCTTCTTAGATATATGATTTGCAAATATCTTTTCCCATTTGGTAGGTTGGCTTTTCATTTTGTTGATGCTTTCCTTTGCTGTCCAGAAGCTTCTTTGTTTGATGTAGTCCCATTTGTATATTTTTGCGTTTCTCTTGCTGTTGGAGTGAAAGCCACAGAAAACATCACTAAGGCTGATGTCAAGCAGCTCACCACCTATGTTTTCTATATATTTTATGGTTTCAGGTCTTATGTTCATGTCTTTAATCTATTTTGACTGTCAATATATGGTATAAGATCATGATCTAGTTTCATTCTTTAGCATGTGACTGTCCAGTTTTCCCAGCACCATTTTTTGAAGACTTTTCTTTCTCCACTGTGTGTTCTTGGCTCTTTTGTTGTGAATTAGTTATCCATATATGACTGGATTTATTTCTGGGCTCCCAATTCTGTTCCACTAGTCAATGTGTCTGTTCTACCTATACTATATTGTTTCGATTACTATAGCTTTGTAGTATGGTTTGAAATCAAAATGTGTGATACCTCCAGGTTGGTTCTTTTTTCTCAGGATTGCTTTGACTATTCAGGGTCTTCTGTGGTTCCATACAGATTTGAGGATTTTTTTTGGTTCTATTTCTGTGAAAAATGCCATTGGGATTTTAATAGGAATTGAATTGGGTCTATAGATTGCTTTAGGTAATATGGACATTTTAACAATGTTAATACTTTTAATCCATGAGCATAGAATATTTTTCCATTTATTTGTGCCCATTTTAGTTTTTTTCAACAGTCCCTTACAGTTTTCAGCATATAGGTCTTTCAGCTCCTTGGTTAAATTTATCCCTAGATGTTTTATTCTTTTTGTTGTAATTATAAATGGGAAGTTTTAAATTTTTTCTTTCTTATAGCTCATTGTTAATGTATAGAACACAACAGATTTTTATACATTGATTTTGTACCCTATAGCTTTACTGTATTCATTTATTGTTTGTAATAATTTTTGGTGGTGTCTTTGGGATTTTCTGTGTATAAAATCATGTCATCTTCAAAAAAGTGACAACTTTACTTATTCTCTTCTAATTTGGATGCCTTTTATTTCTTGTTCTTGTCTGATTGCTCTGGTTAGGACTTTCAATCCCATGTTGAATAGAAGTGGTAAGAATGTGCATCATTGTTTTGTTCCCGATCTTAAAGGAAAAGCTTCCAGTTTTTAACCATTAAGATGTTAGCTGTGGGTTTGTCATATGTGGCCTTTATTATGTTGACATACTTACCTTCTAATCCCATTTTGTTGAGATTTTTTTTATCATAAATTGATATTGGATTTTGTCAAATTCTTTTTCTGTATCTACTTAGATGATATGACTTTTTGTCCTTCATTTTGTTAATGTGGTATATCATGTTAATAGATTTGTGGATGTCAAACCATCTTTGCATCCTGGAATAATTCTCAGTTGATTGTAGTCTTTGATTCTTTTAATATATTGTTATATTTGGTTTGCTAATATTTTTTTAAGAATTTTTGCAGCTGTTCATCAGAGATTTTGGCTTGTAATTTTTCTTGTGTGTTGGGTTTTTATGGTTTTTGATACCAGGGTTGTATTGCCCACATAAAATGATTTAAGAAGACTTCCCTTCTCTTCAAGTTTTTGGAAGAGTTTGAGAAGAAACGATATTAAATCTTCTTTGATTTCTTGGTAGAATTCACCAATGAAACCATCTGGTCATGGACTTCGTATTCTGTTTTTGAGTGCTATTTTAATCTCCTTTCTAGTGTTTGGTCTATTCAGATTTATATTTCTTCATGGTTCAATCTAGGAAGATTGTATGATTCTAAATATCAGTTTTCTTTAGATTTTCTAATTAGTTGGCTTATACCATTTATAGAAATCAAATATGACTGTATTTTTGTAGTATCTGTTGTGACTTCTCTTTTTTGATTTTTATTTATTTGAGCCTTCTTTTTTCTTAGTGAGTCTAACTAAAGCTTTGTCAATTTTGCTTATCTTTTTAAAAAAAAAAAAACAGCTCTTAATTTTATTGATCTTTTGTATTATCTTTTTAGTCTCTATTTCCTTTGATTTCTTCCTTGAGCTAATATATTTTTTCAGTAGTGTGTTATTTAAACTTCATCTATTTGTAATTTTTCCAGTTTTCTTCCTTTTTTAAATAATTTTATTTTCCAATTACAATTGGCATACAATATTATAGTAGTTTCAAGTGTACAACATAGTGATTAGACATTTATATAAGTGATCACCTTGATAAATTAAGTACCCATCTGACACCATACATTTTTATTACAGTATTATTGACTACATTTCTTATGCTATATTTTACATCCCCATGACTATTTTCTAACTATTAATTTGTACTTCTTAATCCCTTCTGCTTTTCACCCACCCTTCCAAACCCCCTCCCATGTGATAACCATCAAAATGTTCTCTGTACCTATGAGTTTGTTTCTGTTTATTTTGTTCTTTAGATTCCACATGTAACTGAAATCATCATATAGCATTTGTCTTTCTCTGTTAGACGTACTCCACTCAACACAATACCCACTAGGTCCAACCATGTTGTTGCAGGTGACAAGATTTCATTTTTTTTTTTTTATGGCTGAGTAATAGTTCATTGTATATATGTGCCACTTCTTCTTTATCCATTCATCCATTGATGGAAACCCAGGTTGCCTCCATATTTTGACTATTGTAAATTATGCTGGAATGAACATTTGTATTCACATATCCTTTTGAAGTAATGTTTTGGGTTTCTTTGAATACCCAGAAGCAAGCAGGATTACTGGGTCCTTCTTTGTCTCTTGATATAATCTTCATTTTAAAGTATATTTTGTCTGGTATAAGTATTGCTACCCCAGCTTTTTTTTTTTTTCTCATTTCTATTTTCAGGAAATATCTTTTTCCACTCCTTTACTTTCAGTCTGTGTGTGCCTTTCGATCTGAAGTGAGCCTCTTGAAGGCAGAATATGTATTTCTCACTTATTCAGTTACCCTTTGTCTTTTGATTGGGATATTTAATCCATTTGCACTTAAAGTAATTGTTAATAGATATGTAGTTATTGCCATTTATTAGTCATATTTTTTAATCTTTCTTTTCTTCTTTAAAGAAGCTTCTTAAAAGAATCCCTCTAACTTTTCTTATAATACTAATTTGGTGTTGATGAACTCCTTTAGCTTTTTCTTGTCTGGCAAGCTCTTTATCTGTCCTTCAATTCTGAATGCTAGCTTTGCTGGGTGGAGAAATCTTGATTGTAGGTCCTTGCTTTTAATCACTTTGAATATTTTGTGCCAATCCCTTCTAGCCTACAGTTTCTGTTGAGAAATTAGCTGACAGTTTTATGGGAGCTCTCCTGTAGGTAACTAATTGCTTTTCTCTTACTGCTTGTAAAA